TTGAAGATATTTGTTTCACAGCACATAATTGTCAGAGTCTAGAATTAAATACAAGTCTGTTTGAATACACAATGCATGTTCTGTGTATGGCAGATAGCCCAATTCTCTCAAAACACATTGAAAGTATTTACATATATAAATACATATCCATACATTGGCTTTCCCAGTGACTCAGTTTGAGAAGCAGGTATCCTATTAAATGCAAACCCTAATGTGCATGGGAGCAGCAGTCAAGAGATCAAATGACACATGGCATTGGGTAAAGCTGCTACATAAGATCTCTGTCAAGTGTTAAAAAGCAAGGACGTGACTTTGAGGACTAAGGTGCACCTCACATAAGTCATGGTGTTTCAACCACCTCCTATGCATGGGAAAGTTATACATTGAATATGGAAGACTCAAGAAGGAAGATCAAAGGAGAATTGATCCAGTTGAATTATGGTGCTGTTGAAGCATACTGAGAGTACCATGAACAGACAGATTTGTCTTGGAAGAAGTCTAGCCAGAACGCTCCTAGAGGCAAGGATGTGGAGAAGGTCTCCTGTACCTTGGACAAGTTGTCAGGAGAGACCAGTGCCTGGGAAGGACTTCGTGCTTGGTGAAGTACAGGGGCATGGGAAAAGAGGAAGACTTTTGACAAGATGGTGGACACAGTGGCTGTAACTGTGGGCTCAAACAAAGAACAATTGGGAGGCTAGCTCAGGATCAGGCCATGTTTCCTTTTGCTACACATGGGGCAGAACCAACGCGCTGGGACCCAAATAGCAACACGGAGGACAGTGATGCTCTGAGGAATTTTCTCAGAAATATCCTTCTCAGGGTTCTTAGAGAATTTTTCGAAAACACTCAGGTTTGTCATTAATTTGCTGAATTATGAGACTCAGTTTCTTTCCAATAGCCATTATAAACAGTGCTCTAATCACTGCTGGTTTGGGACTCTCCACTAACCTTTAGAGATGTATATAATCAGGTGAATAGACACCGTTTCTCCCTAAGGTAGATACTATGGCTCCCCACCCCAATTATATTGAAGAGAGAGGAGACCCTCAGAGAGCTTAAATGGGTTTCTGTGCTATATTTTTACCCTTCCCTCTCTACCCACTCTCTCTTCTCTCAGCATCAGACAATTAAGACCAGGTGTTTCACATTTGGAAGGAAAAAACAACATAGTGCAAAATGCTTTTCTCACCTTGTGTTAGTCCAGGTAGACTAGAGAAACAAATTCATGGACACTCATGTGTATATAAGAAAGAGCTTTATATACAAGAGCAGTTGAATATTGAGAAAACATCCCAGCCCAGTCCAGATCAAGTCCATAAGTCTGATATTGGGCCATATGTGCGACACCAATCTATAAATTCCTCTTCAGACTCACGGAACACATGCAATGATGCTGAGTGCAGGACGATCACAGGCCGGGGGGCAGAAAGTCTTGTGGATCCAGTGGTGATGTAAGCATAGCACTGGCAGGAGTCTCCACATATCTTCCCAGCTCTGAGGCTCTGGCTGCCATCACCTGTCTCCATGTGTTTTGTCAGCTGCAATGTCTCCCAGGAAGAGAGCATGTGTCCTGCCTCCAGAGAGCTATTTATCTCCTTAGTGCCTCCAACTGAGGCCATCAAGCTACACCTGATTGACAGGCTAAACTCCACCCCTTCACTCTTAATACTCAAATTGAAAACAGATTTTGTAACTATCACACACCCCTAAGGATCTTTCCCCTCACAACCAAACGATTAAATAAATAAATTGACATCCTCTGTCCCCACAATCTGCCTGTATGTGTCCCAAAGGGCACATACAACATAAAATCCGCTTAGTCCAAGTAACCTGCGGGGGTTGGGAAAGAAGAGCTGTGGCTTTCAGTCTGGTTGTCTTGATCTCTAGGTCACCCAGTATCTAGCTGGTCACCAATCCTTCTCTCTAGGTTTCAGGAACCCTGTTTTTACCTTAGCCTCCTCTGCTTTCTCTTCTCTCCCTTTCTTTTGCCTCTTTACCCACTCCTAAAACAGTGAGATTCTGCCAGATGCCAGCCTAAGTCATCTTCTCTTCCTGCTGCCTTCCAGAAACTACTGTATATGCTGATGACTCCTGCTGTATTCCTCCAGTTGGGGGGGGTCTTCTCTCCTAGGAGCTCTCTCTAGGCAACCCTAAGACACTGTAGTCAGAGGTCCCTAACACAGGCATCCCTAACTCCACACGTTTAAAATAGAACTCATCACATTCCTCCTAAAGCTCCTCCTCCCTATGTGTTGTTTCTCTTGGCTAATAGACTACCCCCTGTCTTGTTGTCCCAGCCAGAAACCTGGGAGTCAGTCTAGACTGGTCCTCCTCTTTATTACCCTCCACATCCTATCAAGCATCAAGTCCAGTCTATTCTAGCTCCTAAATATCTCTAGAGTTGCCCCAACCTCCCAAATGGCATTGCCACTGCTTTAGTTCAGACCTGTCTCCCCCCCTCTAGAAATAACCTCTCCGTTCTCTCTCTCCTCTGTCTTCCACAGTGGTACCAGAGATCACTTTCTAAATCTGGTGATTCTTAACTATCTTAAAAGTCTGTCCCTGCATAAAACTTTTTTTTTCCTGCATAAAACTTAACAGCTACCTAACCACCAATCTCTTTCAGGGCAGTTCTGATTCTTTGGCCTAGCAGATCTGAGCAAAGCCAACTTTCCTTAGCTCACCTACAGTTTAGCTTCAACTCACTGCTTCCAGTTTCCAGGACACACTTTGACACCTCCTTAATCTTTTCCCTGGCTTCTTTTTGTTTCTGAAGTGCCCTCCCCCACCCTCCTTGTTAACCTGGTGATCCTGTCCTCCTTCAGGATGTTATACTAAACTCTCTATCACAAGCACCTTCTCAAGGGGAATTAGATGCTCCCTCTTGCATGTTTCCACCTGACTGGGTACAAACGACTATCTTAAGCATTAATCACGTTTTCATTTATATATCTCTTTCCAAAGCTGTAAGCTCCTTAAAGTCAGGCATATGATTCACTTCAAAGGAGCCGTGGTGGCTTAGTGGTTTGTGTGTTGGGATGGTAACTGCAAAGTCAGCAGTTTGAATCCACCAGCCTCTCCCAGAGAGAAAGAGGAGGCTTTCTGCTCCAGTAAAGATTTACAGCCTGGGAAACCCATGGGGACAATGCTACTCAGTCCCACAGAGTCACTATGAGTCAGAATCAGTTGCTGCAAACTTGATTCCAGCTCTGGCGACCCCTTGTGTGCAGAGGGGAGCTGCTCCACTGGGGCTGTCGGGATGTGACATTTCAAAAGCTTCCTCCAGGCCTGTGTTCTCAGCCACCCACCTCTCAGCTAGTGGTCCAGCAATTTTGGCCATCCTGGGACTCTTGAACACGCTAGGCCTCCTTTTCTGCCTCCTTTTCTGTCTTGCATACAAAATTAAGATTGCACAGTGACCTCAAAATTTCCTTTTTGAGTTGAAAGAGTCTGATGTTTACAAAACACATTTTTATTTACTATGACTTGTTTCATAAATCCCCCTACTTATCAAGGAATCAATGAACCTTAGGAGGTTCATTGATGTACTGTGCTCTCTGTGGCCAGCTAGTTAACAAAAAGAAAGATCGAATTTCTTAATATGACCACGGTGAGGTTAGTTTGCATCTCTGACATCTTCAGGGCACTGTGGAGGGCAAGCCTTTTTCATCTTACCAACATAAACATTTTTAGAATCTTAGAACTAGCTCATATTCTACACGGTAAATTCGAGTGTCCAAAAACCAGGTTTACTGGAAGCTAGGTTCGCCATGCCCGAAAACGAGATCACGAAATCACTCAGTCCTTTTTTTCAATGCCCAGGCCACGTTGTTAATTAGGTAACTTCTTATCATAATTACCTAGTCAGCCTTAATGGCTTCACACTCTCAGTTCCTTTTCTCCCTGGTCCTGTAGGGCCGCTTTTCAATTGTTAAAACAGCTGCTGAGTTTCAAACCAGAGCAGGCTCGGTCTGCGCAGAGGGGCTGCGCTCCCCAAGTGAAGGCAGCGGCAGGCAGGCGTTCGGCTGAAAAGTGGGGCATGAATGCTCAGTTTGCACGTTCTGTTTTCCGCCCCCAATCTTCCGGATCTAAGAAATCTCCCCAGCCCGCCCCCAGCCACCCCCTCTGACAGGGCAATGGTCCTCCAGCGGTAGGTATCTCCCCGGGTTTTGAGGTTCTCCGGGTAGCCTGTGAGCCTCCCACTTCTATCCTCCCACTAGCCAGGAATACCACTGGCAGCAATGAATTCCCCGCGAAGCCGCCCTCGAGGATCCTGTTTGGGGAGCTCTGGGTGGCCAGGAGGTGTCTGTGTGTGCCAATGCGCGCGCGCCTGCGAGTGTGTGTGTGTGTGTGTGTGTGTGTGTGTGTGTGTGTGT